GGAGAAGGAAGCCTGGCGAGGGGGAGGCAGGTGATCGGAGGAGGGAACTGTTCCGATCCTGCTACCCTGCCATCGTTTTCGCGGCCGAATTCGCCTTGGGATCCTGGTCAGAACGCTCCCCGGGAAAAGGTCCAGAGGAGGATAAGCAGGAGCAGGAGGATGACGAGTAGGTGTGCACAATGGAAACAACTCCTCCTCCCCCCTCCTCCTCGCTCCCTGTGAGTTGGAGGGGAATGGAGGGCGAGGAGGAGGAGGAGAAGGAGGAGAAGGATGAGGTGGAGGAGGAGGAGGAGGAGGAGGAGGAAGGAGCAGGGAGATTCATGAGGAGGGAGACGGTGAGGAGGATGAGGGAGAAGGAGAAGGAAGAGAAGCAGGCGGAAATGGAGGAGGACGAGGAGGAGGGAGGTTATGAGGATGGGGATGAGGATGGGGATGATGATGATGATGATGATGATGATGATGATGATGATGATGATGATGATGATGATGATGATGATGATGCTGATGCTGATGCTGATGCTGATGCTGATGATGATGATGATGATGATGATGATGATGATGATGATGATGCTGATGCTGATGCTGATGATGATGATGATGATGATGATGATGCTGATGCTGATGCTGATGCTGATGCTGATGCTGAGGAGGAGGAAGAGGAGGATGTTGAGGATGAGGATGAGGAGGATGGCCAATATAAACCAAATATTCATCAACGATGTTGGAATACACCATCTCTCCATGCTCGCTCTTCATCGGCCCTACAAGGCTTCATCCCCACAGGGGGGAGTGCCCCGTTGGGAGACCACCGTGTGAAAATCCTGGCGCGTGCCACAACATCATTCTCATGACTCCAGACATTCGACGCCGCGAGTCAACCGGACTGATGCGTCTGGAGACCCTGAATCGTACCTGAACGCCGTTCCTGGGACATCGACACCGCGGATCAGCGTAACTGTTGCGCCCTGGCAGTCCCGATTCGTTCCAGGACGCCAGTTCTTGTACGCTAGCCATGAGAACCAGTGAAACTCTTGCAAACTTTGGAAACGAATGTGCGTGGCGCAAGGGCGAGAGCCACATCTTGAGAAGGAGCCGCGCTTCATCCGTGAAACCCGTGCAATCATTGAAGACGAATGTGCGCCACATCTTGATAACGACCCGCCGTCAATCCGCGAAAGTCTTGCTTTCTTTGACGACGAATATGCGCTGCGCTTCGGGAAGAGAAGGGCCGCATCTTGAAAACCACCCGCCCCCAATGCATGAAACTCTTTACATGTTTTAAAGACGAGCGCGTGCGGCGCCAACCGAGCACCACGTTTTGAAAACCACCCGCCCTCCGTGTGTGAATCTGTTGTCAGTTTTAAAGTTTCAGGCCCATACATGGTAAGGGAAGTCTCAGGCGAAGCGCCCAGCCCGTCCGTCCGACTGGCCTCGGGGTGGACAGGGGGGAGTTATCCAGAAGGAAAATACATGGATGTTGATGCTCAAGATTACGATGATGCTCATGATGAGGATGCCGACGATGATGATGATGATGATGATGATGATGATGATGATGATGATGATGATGATGATGATGATTATGATTATGATTCTGAGTATGCTGATGGTGGTGATGATGACGATGATGAGGACGATGAGGATGATGAGGATGATGGTGATGATGATGATGATGATGAAGAGGATGACGATGAGGATGATGAGGATGATGACGATGATGATAATGATGACGAGGATGACTATTATGATACGGGTGCGATGATGATGCTGCTGATGATGAGTATGGTGATGGTGATATTGTTGTTGGTTGTGGTGATTATGAGGATGACGATGATGTTGATGGTGATGGTGATGTGATGATGATGGTGATGAGAAGGCAGATGATGATGCTGATGATGAAGATGATGCTGCTGGTAATGATGTGATGATGATGAGGACGATGTCGTGATGAAGAAGACGATTATGATGCCGGTGCTGGTGATGCTGGTGATGATGCTGATTAGGATGCTGCTGATGCTGATGCTATGATGATGTTGCTGCTGATGCGATGGGGATGATGGTGATAAGGAAGAATACGATGATGTTAGTGATGCTGATGGTGGCGATGCTGATGCTGATGATGACTAACTATGGTGGTGGTGGTGATGATGATGGTGATGGTGGTGGTGATCATGACGATGATGCTGATGCTGATGCTGATGATGATGATGCTGCTCATGATGATGCTGATGCTGATGCGATGATGATGCTGCTGATAATGATGATGCTGCTGATGATGATGACAATGCTGATGATTATGATGACGATGGTGGTGATGCTGATGCTGATGATGATGTTGATGATGATGATGCTGATGCTGCTGCTGATGATGATGATTATGATGATGACGATGCTGATGACTATGGTGATGATGATGATGCTGATGATGGTGGTGGTGGTGATGATGATGATGATGGTGCTGCTGCTGCTGCTTCTGATGAGGATGATGATGATGATGATGATGATGATGATGATGATGATGATGATGATGATGATGATGATGATATGGTGGTGATGATGATGATGATGAGGAGGAGGAGGATGAGGATCAGGATGAGGATGATGATGAGGATGATGATGCTGATGCTGATGATGATGAGGAGGATGATGCTGCTGCTGATGCTGATGCTGATGCTGATGCTGATGCTGATGATGATGATGATGATGATGATGATGATGATGATGATGATGATGATGATGATGATGATGATCATGATGAGGATAAGTAGGAGGGAATTGAGGAGGAGGAGGAGCAGTAGGAGGAGCAGGAGGATGATATGCTCGACGTCGATGATGAATGATGGGCGCAGGGGCCTGCCGGGGGGAGGGCGAGGCAGAGGAGGGGAAGGACAAGGAGGATGAGGAAGGGAGGAGAGGGAGGAGGAGGAGGAGGAGGAGGAGGAGGAGGAGGAGGAGGAGGAGGAGGAGGAGGAGGAGGAGGAAGAAGCAGGAGGAGGAATCAGGAGGAGGAGGATGAAGAGGGGGAGGAGGTATGGTATGGTATGGGGTTGGGCGGACAAAAGTCCACCTGCCGACGCTGCGGCTCGCAAGCGGGACTGGCGACGAGGAGCCCGAGGGCCACACCAGACAGGTGCACCCCAGCGACGGACCTCCCAGGAGGGGAGAACCGTGGCCAAGGCCCCACCACCCCCGCGGGGACGAAGACCCACGGGCAACCGAACGCAGCCCCCAGGGCCGCACCCAGGACCCCGCGGCCCGAAACGAGGCAGCCCCCAGGCCGCCCCCAGAAGGACACCAGATTTCCGAGCCGAGCCCAGCAACTACGCGTAGCCGCCGCCCACTCAGCCCCAAGTCATCTGGCCCCTTCTCTTCTTCTTGTTCTTCCGCTTCTTGCCCACGGGTACCGTGAGCGAGCGGAAGTCGTCGACTGTGAGCCCGAACTACTCCAGCACCCTCGCGAGCGCAGCCTCGTGCTCCTCGGAGCCAGGCTCGAAGGGGTTGCAGGCCTGCACGATCTGGTCGCAGAGGCCGCCTGGAGCGTCTGCGTAGATCACATCGCCCCCTTGGCTCGTCCTCGGCCAGCCCCGTCAGCACCTCCGCCTCCACCATCGTCTCGCACTGGGGGGTGGCCACCCGTGGGGCCGCCAGCACCGCGGTACCGAAGACCGCTGCGTCCTCCAGTTCGTCGTGCTCGAGCCGCCACTGGGCGCGGCGGCATGCCGCCGCAGCGGCCGCCCTCGCGTGCGCCAGCTGGTTGGCCGCGACCGTGGCCTCCCAGCTCCGCGGCCCCCTCGCGCTCGGCTCCTCGCCGCCAGAGAGGCTCACGACCTTCATCATGTCGTCCAGCTCATTCATCACCTCCTTCTCGCACTCGTGGACGTTTTCGACCTCTTCGGAGCCCGCCGCGGCGCTCTCAGAGGCGCCCGCCGCCGACGCCTCCGCTGAAGACGCCGTGCACCACCACGAAACGCCCTCTTCGGCCTCCTGGGTCACGCCCGTCGGCACGTGAACGATGTTCTCGACGTACTCTGCCATCGGCACCTTCACGATCTTCTCGGTCTCTTCGGACTCCTCGGTCACGCCCACCGGCACGTGAGCGATGTCCTCGACGTGCTCTGCCATCGGCACCTTCACGATCTTCTCGGTCTTCCCAGCAGAGGCGTTCAGCACCTCGATGCTATCGACATGATGCGCCATCGCCACCTTCACGGTCTTCGCCTCGACCTTCACGGCCTCCAGGTTGACCGCCTCCTCGGGAAGGCCCTCGACGTCCCGATCGTCCTCGGCCAGGCCGCACTTGCCCAGCACGGGGAAGACAGGGACTGCAGGGAGCTCCTCGCATACAGTCTGGACCACGACATCGCCCATCGACAGGTGGACGGTGATCCCGACATGCTCCGACGACAGCGCGTCCATGCTCGGGTCGAGCACGCGGGCGACCTGGTCACCGAACGCCTTCGTCGGCTCCTCTACGGACTCGCTGGCCTCCTCATCGATGCTCTTGCAGTCCCCGATGAACTGCTGCGCCACCGACACAGCCTGGTCCCTCTCGGCCACGAGGGCCTCGTGCGCACCCCTGAACGTGCCCTTGAGGAGCTCCATGATGAGCTCTTCCCCAGGAGCAGGGTGTGCACCTCGAGCACCGCACCGCCCGCGTGCAAGATGGCGGCAGGTCCGCCCATCTGCCCGGCAGGCCACGGCGGCGCGCCACACTCGCCGCAGACCGCGGTCACGGCCTGGCCATGGCTCTCCGCAGACGCGCCGCTCTGAAGTACGCCTGCAGAAGCTCTGGGGCCCCCCGCCCACAGAGCCAGAACGGCTTGAGCCAAAATGGCTTGAGCCCAAATGGCTACGGAGCAGGGGGACGAGGAGGAGGGGGAGGAGGAGGAGGAGGTGGAGGAGAAGGAGGAGGAGGAGGAGGATGATGATGATGAGGAGGAGGAGGAGGTGGAGGAGAAGGAGGAGGAGGAGGAGGAGGGGGAGGACGGAGGATGAGGAGGAGGAGGAGGAGGAGGAGGAGGAGGAGGAGGAGGAGGAGGAGGAGGAGGAGGAGGAGGGGGAGGACGAAGGAGGACGAGGAGGAGCGGTCCCCCGAGGCCTGGACGAGTTCTTCGCGCAGGGCGACAAGGAGCCCCGCCCTCGCTGATGCGCTCCCCTTGGCGAGTGGGCGTGTGCAACGGCTGCAGCCTCGGCGCCCCCGGAGGCCAGCGGGGGTGCGGGCGCCGCTTTGTGTTTGTCCCCCTCCCCCTTTTTCCCGAACTAGGCTCTGCCTAGAAGGGTTCTTACTGTCTTGGCTTAAAGGGGCCGGCGTTTACCACTCCTACTAATGTTGCTTTCCTAGAGGCTCCAACTCCTAGGTAGGGTCGCACTGGGATAATTTTATCCCCCCTCCGTTCGCTTCCGCCTGTGCCGCCCTGCTTTTTTTTGCCCCGTCCGGCCGCCCCGCCACTTCTTCCCGTGCGACCGGCGCGCGGCCCCTGCGAGGCCTGGGAGGCCCAGGAAGCCTTGTGAGCCCCCTGGGAGGCCACGGAGACCCCCGAGAGGCTCCCTCACAGGCCCCCGTGGGAGTCGCCGGGGGGCCCTGGGACCCCATTCGTCGTCAATGCGTCGTCGTTCGTCGTCGCCGACGGGGGTCCGAGAAGGGGTCCGAGGGCCTGAGGGTCGATTCGTCGTCATTCGTCGTCGACGAGGGGCCGTCGGGGGGGGGTGTCCGAGTGGTCGATTCGTCGTTGATTCGTTGTCGCGCTAGGCTACTTGGGCTACTTGGATCAACCCAGTTAGGAACACGCCTCGCCGACACACGGCGATTTCCCTTGAGGAAGGCCGACGACGACGACGGCGACGACGGCGGCGGCGGCGACGACTACGACGACGCGGAAGAGGACGACGACGACGACGACGACGATGACGACGACGACGACGACGGCGACGGCGACGGCGACGGCGACGGCGACGGCGACGGCGACGGCGACGGCGACGGCGACGGCGACGGCGACGGCGACGGCGGCGGCGGCGGCGACGACGACGACGACGACTGAAACGGAAAATTGTCAAGGGGAGGAGCGTCGTCGACGACGACGGCGACGACGACGACGACTAAAACAGATAAGCGTCTCACAGACGCCGAGAGGGTCGGTGGATTTGTTGGTTTCCTTCTCCCTCTGCCCCCAGGAGAAGGCCATGGGCGTCCCAGTCCAGCCCCTGAACGACCGCGACAAGGTGAACAGGCCCAGTTCGCAGGTGCGTGCCACGCCGCTGGGCAAAGTAGCACACCCCGCCCTCGCAGGAGGAACGGGGAGGGACGAGGAGGGAGGTGGGAGGAGGACGACAACGGTGTCCTCTTGGGAGCCTGCTGGCGGTGTCGGCAGCCATTTTTCAGAGAAGGCTCGGCATGTCAGGTTGGATTCCCTCTCATGGGGGCCTCCCGAGCCTCTTGTGCCATCTTGGGGTCCTCTTGAGCCGTCTTGTGGCCGTCCAGGAAGCCTACTGGGCTGACTTGGGGTCGATCTTGGCTGTCTTGAAGGCCTCCTGCGCCAGTTTAGGGCCCTCTGGGGCCGGCTTGGGGCCACCTTCAAGGTTTTGCTGGCCGTCTTGGGCCGACGGACGACTGAAAAGGCAAGAGCCAAGGAAAAATCAATGATGTTCCCTCCCCCAGGGCCTCAGTGTGTGTGTGTGTGTGTGTGTGTGTGTGTCTGGTCCAGGGCTAGGCCCCTCCTTCCTTCCAGTGCCCAATTCACCGAGCGCGTGCCTACCCGCACACGTCCGAAAAGAACATGTCTGCTTCGATGTGATTTATCGAAGATCCCCCGCGGCGGATACAGGCCATTTGCGAGTAGTTACTTTGCAAGTGGTGGAACGCGCTCGTTTACCAATGGGTTCGCCCCCGCCCGCTCCCTTTCCGTCCCCCCCGCCGTCCCCCACCGACGGTTCCCCACCTCCTGCTCCTCTCCTCCTCGTCTCCTGCTGTCTCCTCCTCCTCCTCTCCTCTCCTCCCCTCCTCCTCTTCTTCTTCCTCCTCCTCCTCTCCTCCTCCTTCCCCTCCTCCTTCCCCTCTCCCTCTCCTCTCAACCATCCTTTCTCCCCCCCCTTGCTGTGGCGTGGGGTGGTGCTGCGTTGCTCCCCCGCCCCCCCTAGGAGTGTGGGGTTGTTGGGCAGCCCAACACAAGGTGGGAGGAGGGCATCGTCGTCGTCGTCGCCGCCGCCGCCGCCGCCGTCTTCGTCATCTTCGTCGTCGTCGTCGTCAACTTCACCTGCCTCCCTCTCTTCCAGCTGAAACGCTGGACGGGGAGTCGTCGTCGTCGTCGTCGTCGTCGTCCTCGTCGTCGTCGTCGTCGGTCGTCGTCTTCGTCGTGGTCTTCGTCGAAGTCGTCTTCGTCTTCGTTATTGTTATCGTTGTCGTTTTCGTCGTCGTCATCTTTGTCGTCATCGTCTTCGTGAACGTCGTCGACGTCTTCGTTGTCGTCGTCGTCGTCGAGGTTCTCGTCGACGTTGTCGTCGCCATCCTCATCGTCGTTGTCTTCGTCATCGTCGTCGCCGTCGTCGTTGTCGTCTTCGTCTTCGTCGTGTTCGTGGTCGTCGTCTTCGTCGTCCTGGTCGTCGTCCCTCCTCCTACCATCTGGGGGCGGGGGCAGGGGCCCATGGGGCCCTGGCACCCACGCCATTGTGGGGGGGTTGGCGTGGGCGCTGAGCCCCGGAACGCGCACACACAAACACACATACACACACACACGCACACCCACCCACACCACACACCACACACCACACACCAGACACCACACACCACACACAACACCCACACCCACACACACGCCCACAAACACGCACACGCACACACAATCAGACACACATTGTGGCCGCGCGCGGCGTCGGACGGAGCCGGTTCGGACCCCTCAGTTACACTCAGTTCCTTTCAGTTACACTCAGTTTCCTTCAGTTGCACTCAGTTTCCTTCAGTTACACTCAGTTTCCTTCACTTACACTCAGTTTCCTTCACTTACACGCAGTTTCCCTCAGTTACACTCAGTTTCCCTCAGTTACACTCAGTTTCCCTCAGTTACACTCAGTTTCCCTCAGTTACACTAGTTTCCTCTCGGTTGCATTTAGCTTTCCTGGCGCTGCGTTTGCGGTTTGGTATCCTACAACTGCAGCCTCTTTCTGACGCAAGGAACTGAGACGAAACTGAGGGAAAACTGAGGGGGACAGCGGCGCCCCTTTGTCAACACCTCCCTTCGCCCCCTCCTATCAGTTTCCGTCAGTTGCGCTCAGTTTCCCCTCGGTTGCATTTAGCTTTCCTGGCACTGCGTTTGCGGCTTGGTACCCTAGAACTGCAACCTCTTTCTGACGCAAGAACCTGAGACGAAACTGAGGGACAACTGCGGGGGACAGCGGCGCCCCTGTGTCAACACCTCCCTTCGCCCCCTCCTTTCCCATCTTCTTCCGCCATCCTTCCTCGCTGCTCTGCCTCCCTCATGTTCCTTCCTCCCCCCTCCCTTATCCGTGTCCTGTTCCTGTTGTTGTTGTTCCTCCTCCTCCCCTCGTGCTTCGGGGCGTCAGGCTTTCCGGGGTCGCGACCTCATGATGATGGTGATGATGATGGTGATGATGATGATGCTGATGATGATGCTGATGATGATGGCGATGCGTATGACGATGAGGAGATGAATATGATTGCGACGGACAGCGGGGGTGAACAACATGATGGGTCGAAGACAACGAGGAAGAGGAAGAGGAGGAAGAGGAGGATGAGGATGATGGCGGCGGTGGTGATGGTGAGGGGGATGAGGAGGAGGAGGAGGAGGAGGAGGAGGAGGAGGAGGAGGAGGAGGAGGAGGAGGAGGAGGAGGAGGAGGAGGCGTGTGGCGCCGCCGGTTCTGGCTCACCACGCTGCGGCGCCGCGTGCTGAGCACGATCCGGTCCCACAGCGCACAGCGTCATCTCCTCGAGCTCCTGCCAGCCTCCCGCCCCGCGGAGCGGAGCGACACGCTATCAGCTCGCCAAGGCATAGCGTGCCGCCAGGGGCGCCGCTGCGACACGCTCAGCAAAAGTCCCTGGCCGTAGGCTTCTTGGCGGTTTTGGGCCTTGGCTGGGACTGCCAGCGCGTCCTTGTCGCCACGAGGCCAGGTTTTCCAGAGAACTATCCGGCAGGCTGCAAACGCCACATTGGGCGTATCAGAAAGGGCCTTGCCTTCAAGGGTCGAAGGAGTTGTCATATCTTCCTCGGCGGAAGGCAGCGGAAGGGCGGCGGAAGGTCGTCGGAAGTAGAAGATGTCCCCCCAAGAGATGAAAACAATTTTGGGTTCAAGGTTTCCGAGACCGCCCACATGAGGGGTCCGAGGGGCCGACAGAAACGGGAGGGGCCCAGATTTCCAGGCGCAATCGAGGCATCATCGGGGGCGCCAGAGAGGGACTACAGGGCGGCAGTCGTCCGGGATTGCGGTTCCCATAGCTTAGAGTTATGGGAAACGCTATTGTGGCTCATTGAGTGCGGTTTTTGAAGGAAAATTGCGTTTCCCATCACTCGCAAGGTGTAGGGCCTCGTCCAGGGAGGTTTTTTGCTGGCGTTTTCGTGGGCTCACTGGGGTTTTGCCAGCCTCCGGATGCTCAGCCGCAGCCGCGCCTCGCCAGGAGCGGCCCCCCAAGTGTGCCTGGATCGTCCCTTGAGAGGCCGCCGGAGACCGGGTGTGGCGTCCTGAAAACACCAGGCGCCCGACAGGGGGTCAGAACCGTGACTACTTCTTCTTCTTCTTTTTCTTCTTCTTTTTCCTCCTCCTCCTCTTCCTCTTCTTCTTTTTCGTCTTCTCCTTATTCCTCTTCCTCTTCTTCTTCTTATTATGATTTTCTTATATTTACATTATTATTATTTTCTTATTCGTATTATTCGCCCTCTTCGTCATAGCACTGACGGTTACCATTGTTTCTTGTTATGTTGTATTTGGTATTGTTTTCTTGTTATCATTATTGCTCTTCGCATTCGCATTTGTACTCGCATTCGTATTCGCATTCCTATTTGTATCATATGTATTTTCTTTACGTATTATCAGTTGTTGTGATGTCTATGTTCATCAGAGTATGAGTATAATCATTATGTTCGTATAATTCGTATCGTTCTTATCACTCTTATCATTAGTATTGACATTATTATTATTAACCTTTTTGTTTTTCTTGTTCTGCTTCTTTGTTCAGCACGCTCCAAGGCCCCCGCTCGTCCGCGCCCCATGCGTTTGGCCCCAATGCGCACCACCCCCTCTTCTTGGCCCCCCTGGGTCCGAGCAGATGGGGTTGGAGGATCGTGCCGCATCGTCGATGCATCGGCGATGCGGCCCGATGTGGAGCTCGATTTTCTCCGCGCTGGCGTCGTCGATGCATCGCCAATGTCGCCGATGCATCGGCGATGTATCGCCGATGTGTCGGCGAGGTTGTCTTGAAAAATGAAGCCAGGATCGAGGACCGAGGATAGGATCGATGACCGAGGCGAGGATCGAGGACCGAGGTTCCAGGTTCGAATGCCTGCACTCCGATTCAGACTGATTGCGTCATGCCTTAACTCGGGTAGCTGAGGGAAACTGAGGGTAACTAGGTGTAACTAGGTGTAACTCGGTGTAACTAGGTGTAACTAGGTGTAACTGGGCGTAACTAGGTGTAACTAGGTGTAACTAGGTGTAACTAGGTGTAACTGGGCGTAACTAGGTGTAACTAGGTGTAACTAGGTGTAACTAGGTGTAACTGGGTGTAACTGGGTGTAACTAGGTGTATCCGGAAGCGCTCTCATGGCGTTTGCTGCGACGCTCGTTGCCGGGACACTGCGCACACACACACACACGCACACACAGACACAGACACACAGAGACACAGACAAACACACAGACACAGACACACACACACACACCACACAACATACACACAGCACGCAACACACAGAAAAACACACACCCGCACACACACACACCCGCACACACACTCGCACACACACACACCCGCACACACACACACACCCACACACCCACACACCCACACACCCACACCAACGCCCACGCACACACACACACACACCCGCACACACAATCACACACACACACACGCACGCACACAGCCACACCCGCACACACACACACACACGCACGCACAAGCCCACACCCTCACCCACGCCAACGAACACGCACACGCACACGCAGTCACACACACGCGCGTACACAATCATACACACGCACACATTCACACCCGCACACCCGCACACCCACACGCAG